GTGTGTGTGTTCGTATGAATTATTGTTTCAATGTGTGGAGTGATAATGCTGCTGTTACTGAATGTGCTGTGATCGGTGAGAGGAATGGATGCGAACCGATATCAAGTGTTGCTGCTGCGATTTTATTTATAACATTATTTCTCTGACATTTGCCTTTGGCAGATCAAATTTGTTATAGTTACTTTACATTAGGGCTGCACGATTATGACAAAAATCATAATAGTCGATTATTGCCTTGAAATTGTAATTGCGATTATTAATTACGATTATCACAATTTACATTGAATGATGTTTATACCATTGTTTGATGCAACTGCATGCCGTATTTTTATATGAAAATAAACAAGCTGAAAACACTCTAACTGAAAAACCTTTAGTGCTTTTCTATAGTATTAAGCCTCAAATGTCAAATATACATCGGATTGGTTTCTTTAAATAAAAAATTAAAAAGTACAAATATGAATGGTATTATAATGTTATACTAAATCTAAAACAATGGAAAAACGCTTAAGATAACTTGTAGAAAGAAAAAAAAAGCATCTTAAACACACAGAATAACATAAGTGGACTATGAACGATTAATTGCCGCTTTGAACGATTACGTAATTGTGGCATCCATAATTGTAATCGCGATTAGAAATTCATTTAATTGTGCAGCCCTACTTTACATGGTTAAAAAAACAGGTACTGCTAAATACTTAATATTGAGTCTAATTAGCCACGTGGGACATTTTAGATGCATACATATGAAGAGATTTATAATATATACACTGGAAACATCAATATTTTGTTTTGTGGTACTTTTTCTGTTTTTATTCTGATTTTATGATCACTGTCAATTACTGCACATATAAAACTAACATGTTCATAAATTAATTCCTTAATGCGCTGAATGTAGTTATTAGAAAAGTAAACCATATTTAGATATTGTGTGCTCATGTAGTAATTTACTTGTAGTTGTTAATGGAGATGGGTGTCATCAAATTTCTGTGTTTAAGCTTTAATTTTTCATTCTTACTGTTATTTATATTTGGAAGAATTTACATTATATTCTTTTCTATATTTTTAGAAAGATATCTTCTTGTATGTTAATAATATAGAGGGCAAAATGAAAAAAATATGGATAGAAATGTTAACAATAGAAAGACAGAAAACAGAAATGCATAGAATGTGTGAATTACTTAATATAGTAATACAATGATTTACAAAGATGCAACACTTTGTACTTCAAAAGATAGAATTGGGAGGATATCTGCTTCACGTACATTATTACTTAAAGGTGTAAATTAGTTTTTAAAAAACTCAGTAACTGATTTATTGTTGATGTTCCCAAATCTGCTTTTGTACAGAGAAATTCATGTTTAGTGAAGCTCCTCCCACAAACCCTGCAAAATGAATCACACTGAAGATACTGAAGAACAAAGAGGTTGGTGTTTATTCTTCATTAATAATGCTGAAGGTTATAAAGTTTCAAGCAGATTTAGATTTGTTGTAACAGGAAAAATCTTCAGAGCTGTTGAATAATCTAGCTGAAGCATCAAATAATAAGGGACACTTTCTATGAACTGTAGGGGTGTAACGATATTCGAACCGAACTGAAAAACCGCGATACACCAACCACGATGCGTATCGCTGTACTCTTTGTAGAATATGGTTTGTTGGAAATAACAACACATAAAACAGACCTATTGGTTTCCCACATTACACCAGCAATGATCAAAAAACTTGGACAAACAACACAGAATGCCGTATGCACACTAGTATACCAGTCATTTACGCATTCGTCACCCGGGAGTTGAAAGTGCACGCGTGCAGGTGAGACATGAACAGCACACATTATCTGTGTTTAAACTAAACTCATTTGCGCGTTTTTAAGCCTGGTCAATTAAAACATTCAAACAAAGAAGAGGTGCTTGAGAACTTGCGCGTGCTGTATGAAGGTGTGTGTGTGAGTGAGTGTGTGTGTGCGCACTAGGGCTGCACGATAAATCGCATGCGATATTTAACGCGCATCTTATCAGTAAAGCCAGTTCTGTAATCAGCAGTAAATCTCCATCACGTGCGTGCTTTCACATTGAGCAGCATTAACTACACAGCCGTTGTTCACTGACGAGCTGCGCAAAACCACGTTCATATTCGCGCGAGTTTTTGCGCAGCTCGTCAGTGAACAACGGCTCTGTGTAGTTAATGCTGCTCAATGTGAAAGCCCGCAGGTGATGGAGATTTACCGCTGATTACAGAACCGGCTTTCTGACAAGATGCGTATCGCATGCGATTTATCGTGCAGCCCTAGTGCGCACGCATCTGTAGCACGTGCACACACGGAGAGCCTCGTCTGATTTCCATTTCAACACTTGTGTTTGTGAGTATCCTTGCAAGCATCGTTGGTCATGTTTTAAGTGAACGTTAACAGTCGAGAAAGACGACGTGTGTCAGTATCAGTGTACTGGATCTGCTAATTATGTCTTAAAGGAACAGAAGTCTATTCCTGTTGTCTGTGTTTTTAATGTTAAACAACAAAAGACAAGAAAATCACTCACTTCTCTCAATTGAATCGCTTTGTAATTTTAACAAGGTTTGGTCTTTAATTTATACAGTGAAATATGCTCTGTTATTTTACATCTCTTTACTTTTACGTTTATGGGCCTGAAAATTACTGTTAAACACCTGAAACACCTGAAAAACACTTTATTTTATTTGTATTTTCGCTCTACTGTATTCATTTATGCTGTTGCATTTAGTTTGATTATTTGTTATTATTTACTTTTTTTTTTATCATAGTCCTTTTTTCCCTGAACATAGCACATACCGTACTGAACCACGACCAATCTGAACCGTTACACCCCTAATGAACTGGGTACTTTTGTTTTCAATAACATTTATGTTAGATTATTGTGTAGTTGATCAAATATATTTAATAGTTCTCTATAGAAACATGGGTTCCCTTCCGAGGGAACTTTGAACTGTATCCTCTAGTGGTCGCTATGGGGGAACGCCTTCAGCTTGACCGGCGACAGCCTATGACGTCATTACCCGGCGCGACACAGTATAAAAGGCGCCGAGAGAACACGTCATCCTCTTCTTTGTCTTCACGACTGTTTTGTTTGAAACGTGCATTCCGGTGAGAACATATCTTTCCTCTTTAAAACCATGGCAAGCACTAACTAGTAAGGCGTTTAAGAAATGTGTGGATCCGTGTCCTCGTTATTTGACACCTGATGATACACACGATCTTTGCGTCCTTTGTTTGGGTGAAGAGCACGCGCTCGATGTCCTCGAGGGGGCAATCTGTGTGCATTGTGAGCTTTTTTCAATTAAAAAGCTCTGCTCTCGTTTGTCCCTCTTTTCGAGGAAAGAGGTTTCCCCGCGGTTCAGGACCCGCCGCTGCTGAGGCACGGAGGAAAATGAGCTCGTGGGGATCGCAGGTGGACCTGGCTGATGAGTTGAGAGAGGGTCTTTCCCTCTGCTGCTGGATGACGATGCTATTTCTCTTACATCGTCTGATCCAGCGGCTAGTGCTCTGCTGGCTCCAAGCCAGAAAGAGCAGGAGATGGCGGATGAGGATGAAGAAGTTGAGACTGAATCCTCTCATTCCTCCTGCCCTGCGTACTCTGAGTTGCTTGAGGTTATGGAACGCGCCACAGCGAGGCTTGACTTGCCGTGGAAGCGGGTTAAGAAAGTGGCGCCTCGTGGCTGCCTCGATGAGCGTTATCTTTCTGATCATAACCCTCCAGCTTAAGTGAGCCTTCCATTTCTTCCTGATCTCCATGTGGAGATCGAGAAGGCTATGGAAAACTCTGTTTTCATCCCGCATCCATAAGGTTTCAGCATACTAGTTATGTCAATATTGAGGGGATGCATGAGAACGGTTATGAGAAAATGCTCCCTATTGAAGAGACGCTAACTAGCTATCTCTCTGGGGGTGAGGCATCTTCTCTTAAGGCTCCCTCCCTGCCATACAAACCCCTTCAGGTTACATCTCGTTTGAATGGCAGGGCATACGCAGCAGCAGGTCAGGCTGCAGCTTCGTTGCACACTATGGCAGTGCTTCAGGCTTATCAGACTGACCTGTTGAAAGACCTGGATAAAGGCCAGGGTTTATCCCCTGATGAAATGGCTGAGTTGCGTCGCACCACAGATCTCGCTCTCCGTGCCACTAAGTAGACTGCCACTGCCATTGGCAGATCTATGGCGGGCATGGTGGTTACGGAGAGGCATCTGTGTGTGAACTTGGGCTGTGCGATATGGACAAAAAAAAAACCTATCACAATTTCTTTGATCAATTTTGCGATTTCGACACACACACACACACATGCTTTACAGTCATTAATGCATTCAGTGTGAATTTGAAACATATTTCCAAAAGAAAGCAATTAGAGCTTTATCAAAAAGATGTAACATGTCACTAGAAGACATAAGGCAAAATAATCATTAAGTAAATGTGTAACAAAATGTCTCTAGAATAGACACATATGGCAGAAAAAAAAAATCCCGTGTCCAGGGATTTTTTTTTTTGCCC